CAAAATCCATCTGATTTATATGTCGCCTGAATTTATTGATGTAAATATAAATTTGAGTTATTTCATCCATGAGCCCATCTTCCCAAAATGTTGCCTTGATTGTTGGGGTAGAAATATGGTACTGCCTGTGAGGTGTGGTTTAAAGGGCCATCTACTCATCATTGTCATGGTGTAGTGTAGTGTAGCTTAACAGGCATTTTAACTGGAATAACCCTAGGCAGAACTGCACATAGAATTCTTAGGGTGAGAACCCAGTGTTAAGTACAATACTACAATTTTAAAGCTGCTTCTGCTTCCACTGTCACCCAACTTACCAAGTTAAAATCATCATACTGGCCTTAACTGAAATGCTTAAATGCTGAAATAGGTGCAGATGAGCATTTTTTAGAGAGTCATGAAGCCACTGTGTTTTAAATATTGATCTGTTTTATGTCAGTATTCGATTGTACATAACATCTGTAAAATATATCTGTTTTGAGATTTTCTGCACCATGTATATTCATTGTACAAACCACCAGCATTTTTTTTTGGGATAATCATTTATTAGTCTCTCACAATATAATGGCAGAATTTCCATTATCTTGTTGGCTACCACATGTTCCAGTATTTAATGTTACCTATTACTTATAGGTAACTTTCAGAGTTTACATTTTTGTTTCAAGTCTTTGGACTTTCTCATTAATTTGAAGTCCCATTCTATGTGATTATAATGATGGTCAAATTATCTGTCCTGGCTTTTCTCTATCTATTTGCAACCTTTTACGTGTTTGAGCATACATCTTCCTGAAGTGCCTCCTGTCTGATATTCACCTAGATATGACTGATTCTGCCTGATCCCATTGTCACCTGGAATGGCTTCACTTTCTGCTCCTGCACTGCTACTTCACGCATCCCCCATCGATCTATCTTTGACTCCATCCTACTTCTCACCTAAATACTGACCCTCCACAACAACATCTGAAAGCATGTAAGATGTAACATGTATGTTGATAACACCCAGCTTCACCACCACGTTCATTTCAACACTTCTGTTGTTGGATTTATTTGCTGCTTGTTCAACATCCAAAACAAAATGTCCTCCACCTAAACATTAGGAATTTGGAAGTTGGTCTTCAATTCCAGCACAGGTCTGAGACCAAGCAACACACTCCTCCTCTTTCTGCAGGTTCTGATGAATGAACCTGAAACATTAGTTCTTTCTCTCCACAGATGCTATCTGACCTGCTGAGTGTTTCCAGCATTTCCTGCATTTGTTTAAGATTTCCAGTATTTGCAGTACTTTCCTTTTGACTCTATCCCTTCCCTCTCATCATTCTGTGAGGCTCTAGTCAATTAATTGTTACATCCTGTTTAGCCTAGAGATGAGCTGTACTGCATATCCACTGTCCATCATCAAGGAAAACAAAAATTCTTCCAAGGAATGTGAATGTTGTTGTCAAGGCCAGCTTTTGTTGTACTCCTCCCTCAGCCTTCAAGTTGCTGTTAGCCTCTCCCAGGCTTCATACCAAATAATTCCAGTGTTCTCTTTGTTAGTCTTCTGCCCTCGATAAACTTTAACTTATCCAAACCTCTTGCTATCCCTCTGTCCTAAATCACAGCAAGTCTTATTCATGATCCCTTTGACCTACTTTTGATTTCTGGTGTATCAACTCCTCAATTTTAAAACTGTTCTTGTTTTCAAATGCCCCCACTCCCTAAATTAACATCGTCCAGCCCTAAAATCCTGCAACATCTTTCTGATTCTAAAATTCTGATCTTTTGTGCAGTGCAGATTTAATTGCTTCATTACTGGTAGACGTACTTTCACATGTCCAAGCCCTAAGCACTGGAATTCCCTTCCTAAGCATCTCTACTTCGTAACCTGCTTCCCCTCTTTAAATCTCCTTAATGCCAACATCCTTGGCTCCGCATTTGGTCTGCAGTTTTAATATCGCCTTACGTGGCTGGGTGTTAATTTTTGTTAGAAACTTCACGGAAGTCTTGGTCTTCACTTACTCTTTCTTTGGGCTGTCAGCCTTGGCTTCCATGATAACGTTCTTACCTCTGAATCAGAAAGTTCTGAGATCAAGGCACTCTTCAGAAACTTTGTCACATATTCTAGGCTGACAGCAGTGAAATATTGCATTGCCAGAGGTCTTTCAGTTGAGACATGAAATTGTGTCCCTTTCTGCCATCTCAGGCGGGTGTGCAAGATTCTATTATTATTGTAGGTGGAAGTGAGTTCTTGTAATGTCTTGACCGATATTTATTTCTTGAGTAACATTGCCAAATCAGAAAATTTGGTCATTTATACCATTTCTGTGTGGAACATGACTGCGTATGAACTTGTTTTTAAACATGAAAGCCAAGACTGCAGATGCTAGAAATCTGAAACAAAAACCAAGTACTAGAGAAACTCAGCCGGTCTGGTATCATTAGTAGAGACAAAAGCATAGTTAATGTTTTAAATCCAGTGATGAAGTTGCTGAGACTCATCTTCACTGTTAACCTAAAATAACTCCAATTTGGAGTTAATTGACCACAATGTAAGCCTGTTGATAAAGGGAACTGGACCGAAACATCAACTCTGTTTTCCTCTCTATAGTTGCTTCCAGCTGAGGTTTTCAAGCATTCTCTACTTTTGACTTTTACGTTTGCTTGCACTGCCATGATCACTACATGTCAAAATTATTTAATTGTTGCTAACGCAGACACCCTGAGGTCATTAAAACTGGTATATAACTGCAAGTTCTTCCTTTCTTTGTTACCATGGAATAAATCTACAACATTGGAAATCATTTCACAAGCATTCTGTGACAATGTAAAATTCCCCTAAGTAAGCAGGGTCATATGAAATCGAGAGTTGCTTCAAACACAATAACATTGAGGAAAAGCAATTTTAGCTTTTCATTCCACTGCTCAATGACACTTCAAACATAAAAATATCAATTTAAATATATGTTGTACAAAAGTGATAGATTTCTAAAATAATGCTAATGTCTGCAGGTAATCTTAGCACTGGGGTTTGATTTCCAGTGGGGAAAAAGTATGAATAAAAATGTTGTACTTTTATTGTTATAATGTCGTTGTTACTTCTGTAACAATACATAACTTTGCTTTTTACAATTATCATTCCAAAAGGATTTATAAGCTGATGTGGTGAATTAAGACTTCTTTAATAAACAAAAAAAAATTACCAACACTTAGCAGCCTGGACACAACTTTTCAGACTCACTTTAATTGATAATCTTACTCTTAAGTAATTCCAAGTTGATTTAATTGGTCACAATGTAAGCCTCTTGAGTAAAGCAGAAATGTGCTTGTTATCTCTCTGCCCCTTCACCCTGTCTCATACCTTACTCCAATTCCAAGCAGTCTCAGTTGCCACACTTGTTTCAAATACTCTGTACTGATGGGCTGAGGAAACCCATGTCAATTATTGCTGTCGGTGTTAAGGTCAGGAAGCTGGAGGTGGTGGGAGGCAGTATACAAATCTGATATGGGAGGGACAGAATGTTCAAGAGAGGCAGTCTTTGTTTTATCCTACCATCCAAATCCAAAATTATCCAAGGTATAAATGGTTAGATTGTATTCTGGCAAATACACAATAACTGATTCAAAACAAATTAATCTTTCTAATACAAAGTGCTACTTGACTGCACTACTTAATTCAGGGGTTCTGTGTAATGGAGTGAATATGCATTGGTTGTTCTACGTCCTTTTTTAAAATTATGTAAGCATTTATCTAAAACTGGTTAGTGAGCAAAAAAGTCCTCTGAATATTCATGAGTGTTCAAACCTGCTTTAAATCCTTGATGTATGATCAAATTTACCAGTGCATGTAAGTCTGAAGCTGTTATCTCAAGAATTGATGACAAAAAGATCAAGATAATGTGTACAAGATCATAAGTTCAGTAATCATCAGTAGTTAAGCTGCTTATATATTCATCGAGTTTTTATTTTTATTTCTACTTACTTGGCATAAATTTAAAAATTACCATGTAATGTATAAATAATTTATCACCAAAGATAGTCTTTTTTATTAAATAAAAATATGTCATTGACACAATTGGTAGTACTCTCATCTCTGAACCAGTTTTTTTCTAGAATTTGAGCACAAGTTCAAAGGTTGTTACTCAAATAGAAATCTAAGTGTGTCCAGAAGTGTTGCAGGGATTGTCCTTTTGATTACATATCTGTCTGTTTCTGTGTTTCAGGTGAACTATTAAAGACCTAATGGATACATATCCCAGAACACTATTCAACACAGTTGTCCCAGTTTCCTTTCCAACCTCATGACACTAAAATTATTAACATGTCACCTGTCACCTGTCACATGTCACCTGTTGCTGAAACCTCCATCCATGCCCTTGAAATAGTCAAATCTGAAGATGATATTGTTCCAAGTAATCCTTTGTAAATCCTTCAGTCCCTATCTTCTCTCACACTAAATCATGTTTACTTATCACTCCTGTTTAAAACTTCTCACCCTCATTTGTCTTAATGATTTCACCCCTTGCTGTCTCTGTAAACTTTCCTGGCATTACAACTCTTTCCCATCTACCTAGAGCTGTCCACTCTTTCAGCAGTCGCTTATTGTGAAACCATCTGTAATGTCTTCCTTAAAACGTCCTTTGTCTGCTTCAAGGCTATTCTGAAAGCTTTACGTCTCTTATCAAACTCTCTTTGCTGCAAGCCAGCCCTACCTTCTATGCCCCAGCCCCCAAAAACCCCACAAAAGCGCACACATCTGCACCTTTCGTAGGGGATTCATTTTGTCAGATTGGTATTGTGAAATTCCCTGTATTGATGCTCAGTTCTAAACTTGTTATATCAATGTAAATTTTAGAGTTATTGAAATGGAAAGAGCTATGATTTTATAAGTGTTTGTGCATTTATTTTATGGTTTTAGTACACAATGTTGCAGTTGGCTATAATTTAAACCCTTTGGTAACTAATAAAATGTCAATTTTTCAGTAGTCTATCCAGAAATGCATACTCATCATATTTTCTTCCTTTAGATCGATGCATCCAATTGTGATACAGAGCTGCTTTCTTTGCTGCTGAACAATAAATTAGTGGTGGACTGTGTGTCTACTGTTTTCTACCCCTACCTTCTAAAACATCTTCTGACCAATCGTGAGGAAGGACAGTACACCGTTGAAGAGATAGCAGAACAATTGAATCAAGCAGGCTGCACTGCAGAGGGAGGTTCTTTACTGATGTACCATAGGGCAACACATCCATCATTAAGTACATTTAGTGCTGCACTAAGTGTAACAAAGAAGTGGTTATGAAAGGATTGTGCCTCGATAGCAACGTTTCAGGTAAAGGACGAAGCATGGACTTCCCGACTTGTTCATCTTCAATCAGATACTGCAATGAAGTTTAACATTACTGCATTTGCTACTTGGAAATGTTTGTGTTTCTGGCATTCAAACTGTAAAATCAGTGTGGTTCTGTAAACAGTTTAAAACCTATGGCTGAAAATTATAATTGTAAATCATTTTTCAGTTGATAAAGATAATTTAATAAGGATGATGAAAGAAAGGTTACACCCCAGTATTTTACTTCGGTGCACTCCTAGAATTTTCACTGTGAAATAGTATATCAGATTTTTCAAATAAACTTGGTTTTAAATTTGGAATTATTTCATGTTTCCTCAATTTTATATCTTCTTCAAACCAGCAGCCTACCTTTCAGTCAAAAATGTTACTATGTATACTCTGTAATGGCATAGAAATATCCTTATTTATAAACACAGACACTGCACCTGAGCAGCAAGTTGAGCTTTTCATTAGCGTGAACACTGAGCTTGTTCCTTTTAATATTGTTAACATTTTCAATTCTTACGTTTGCCTGCATTGATCATCAAGTTTCTGCTTAGCCGGTGCTTCTCAAGCAGCATTAATAAGGGAAAATAGTTAACTTGTTTTGACTCCAGCTTTCTAACCCATATTAGAAATGTTACTGAATGGACCCATAAGACAGGTTTCAGACATTGTAAAAAATTTTATAATCTATTAACTGACGGTGACACAAAAATGCATGTAATGTCTGTCTCAAAAGTCATGCAGCCATTAATCGCATTGCCTGCCTAGATCTCTTTCAACGGCATCCATCGTTATTATACCTCTTTATCTATTTGCATCGTTTCACTACTGATACTGCCTCCTCCTTCCACCATGCATTGATAGAAATCTCTTCCCTAAGGAAGACCAATGCAAAGTAATCATTTGGTTTGTCAGCTGAACATTGTCCAGCCACAAGAAAATCTCCTTTTAGGCCCCTAACTGACTCCAGCATTTTTTAATACCATTTTACTGACATATGTTTACAAAAGTTTGGTGGGTTGTCTTTGATGTTAGCTGCTCAGCCATTCTTCTTCTATCTTTTTCACTTCTTACACTCTCTATATCTCTGCTGTAATTTCTGTATTTAGCTTGACTTCTTACAGATTATGAATTTGGCAAAAATCTCCTTTTTCTGCCTCACTTTAACCTCCTTTACCTACAGTTATTCAGAGAGCTTTAATTTTGGACAACGTTCTTTTCCTTTGCTAACAATGTATCTATCTGATCATTTGCTGTGACTATTCAATTAATTTTTGACTCCAAAACTAATCATCTGGGCTAGACCATTCTTTGGCTCACTGAAGTTAGCTTTCTCCAGTTAAGTATTTTTATACTTCATCGTGCCTTGTCCCTTACATTGACTTTTACAAACCTGATGATACATTGACTGTTCTCCAAATGCTTTCTAGCTGAAACATGTTCTGCATAATTCTCCAGAACCATATCCAGCACTCTTTCCTTCCTCAGTGGTCTGGGCACGCAGAAATCAAAAAATGTTGTATTGTACATATTTCAGCAACATCGGACCCTATTTTCCTTTTACTCCAATGCTATCCTAATTTATATTAGAATAATGTATATTTCCCATTATCGCTGCTCTCTGGCATTTGCATGTTTCTACAATCTGCTTGCAAATTTGTTCCTCTTTCTGCTCCCAATTTCATGGTCATTAGCAGTGATTCACACCCCGCAAAAAGACTTGGTCAAATTAAAAGCTGGTGAGAGCTATCTAAACTCAATGTTTAAATCCAGTACTGTCACCTACCATCAACATGGATCCATATAGCCTCAGTTCTGGGAGTTTAATATAGATATTCGGATTGATTTGACATTCGAGCTATTGAATCACAATTTGCTTTTATCTAGAACCTTCCATGTTTACAACAAATTACTTTTTATGCGTGAAATTAACTTAGTTCAGGTAAAAAGAACATAAGGAATCTGGTTACTGTAGTTTAGTAGTCCAGGTCTTCATGCCTCCGGTCTCAATAGAATTGTTGCTCAGCATCAGGAATAAATTTCACATCAAGCAAAACCAAACCAGTGACTCAGATATTCCACTGACAGTCAGGACTCCAGCAGACGACAATGATGAGATGAAAGGGAAATGAGGGGCGAGGGAGCTAGTTAGGTACAATGCTGAAGATGGATCAGGGGCATTGGTCGAGTTGAGTGGTATCAGGTTCTGGGAATTAGGCGGAACAGCGTAGCAGAGGGAGAAGTATCAGGTCTGGGAAGGAGGATCAAGCTAAAGGCAGCAGAGAAAGCGGCAGTGGATATGGGGTTCAGGGTGGGGCAATGGAGTCCGCAAAAAGCTCAAACTGCCGGATGGGGACAAATGTTGGGTCCAGACCTGGGTATTGCATTCAACAAGGTAGTATCATAGGGCAGGGTGGGGAGTTGTGCATTCAGGTTGTGGTGGGATTAGGTGGGGATTTCTGGTCAAGATGTAGTTATGTGGGTCCTAGGACTGTAAGGGGTCAACAGAGGTGTACTTGAGTGGTTGAGGGGTGTAGGGAAGTCTACCAATTTAATAGTTATCCAGGAGTTAGACTACACTGATAATTCTCTAACTTTTCCTAGGTAACTTGAGTGACACGGAACCTCGAAATTCTCCACAATTTATGAACTAGTTCAAAGCCTTCCCAATGTTGGGGAGTTGCTTTTTGGAAAATTCAATATCAGTTGCACTGGGGCTCCACATGCTCTCAAACACAACCTCAGTCTGGCTTCTCCTATGACTGGCCAACAGAAGATCTGTGCCAGTATATTACATTGCACGTATATACCAGTGCAAATAGTTAGGTTAGGTGGAGCTTGTGAAATGTTTATAGCACTTGACAGGAGGGCCAAAGAAAGGTTAAGAACCCCATGGCTTGTCACATACATCCAGTCATGTAATAACTTCAGTATTGTTCACTCGTTCTAATCAAATAGTTTTTTTTTTGGTTCTCCAAAATGTATTGGCCAAATTCCTTGATCCATTCTTGATCCAAGCTCAGTGTATAATTATTGGGTCTGGGAAAGTATTCAACATAGCAAGAACTTGGAGCATTAGTAGGCTATTCAGCCCTTCAAGGCTGTACCACCATTCAATGTGATCATTGTTACCTATAATCAACATTGTCTTGCACGGCACCCCAATGCCTTATCAGTTTTAATATGTTGATATCTATCAATCTCGCAGTTGAACATACTCGACAACGGAGCCTCCTCAGTCTTTCAGAGCAGAAATTTCCCATGATTCACGACCCTCTGAATGCAAGAAATTCATCTCATCTTCGTCTTAAATTGGAGATATATTGAGGAAAGAGATTAGTCTCCGACTGATACAGTTGGGAAAAGGAGCAAGTCAAACAGTCAGGGCAGGCAACAACAAAGCAGAGAATGAGGTAGGACAGATAAATTAAACTACATTTATTTCAATGCAAGAGGCCTAACTGGTAAGGCAGATGAACTCAGGGCATGGTTGGGAACATGGGACTGGGTTCTCATAGTAATTACAGAGATGTGACTCAGGGATGGACTGAACTAACAGCTTAATGTTCCAGGGTATAGATGCTATAGGAAGGATAGAAAGGGGAGCAAGAGAGGAAGGGGAGTGGTGTTTTTGATTAATGATAACATTATGGCTGTACTTGAGGAGGATATTCCTGGGAATACGTCCAGGGAAGTTATTTGGGTAGAACTGAGAAATAAGAAAAGGATGACCACCTTGTTGGGATTGTACTGAAGACCTCTTCTCCACCCCCACCCCCAAAAATCAGCTGGAAATTGAGAAACAAATTTGTGAGGAGATCTCAATTATCTGTAGGAATAACAGTAGGGGATTTTAACTTTCCAAACATAAACCTGGACTGGCATAGTGCTAAAGTCTTGGATGGAGAGGAATTTGTTAAGTGCATACAAGAAAATTTTCTGATTCAGTATGTGGATGTACCTAATAGAGAAGGTACAAAACTTGACCTACTCTTGGGAAATGAGGTGGGGCAGGTGACTGAGGTGTTAGTGGGGGAGCACTTTGGGGCCAGTGACCATAATTTTATTAGTTTTAAAATAGTGGTGTAAAAGGATAGGCCAGATCTAAAAGTCAAAGTTCTAAATTGGAGGAAGGCCAATTTTGATGATAGCAGGCAAGAGCTTTCAACAGTTGATTGGGGGCAGATATTTGCAGGTAAAGGGATGGCTGGAAAATGAGATAACGTGAGTCCAGGGACAGCATATTCCTGTTAGGGTGAAGGACAAAGCTGGTAGGTGTAGGGAATGCTGGATGACTAGAGAAATTGAGGTTTTGGTCAAGAAAAAGAAGGAAACATATGGCAGGTATAGATAGCACGGATCAAGTGAATCCTTAGAAGAGTATAAAGGCACTAGGAGTATACTTCAGATGGAAATCAGGAGGGCAAAAAGAGGACATGAGATAGCTTTGGCGAATAGGGTTATGAAGCATCCAAAGGGGTTCTATAAATACATTAAGGACAAAATATTATTTAGGGAGAGAATAGGGCCCATTAAAGATCGACAAGGCTCCCTATGTGTGGAACTGCAGGAGATGGGGAAGATACTAAGCAAGTATTTTGCTTCAGTGTTTACTATGGAGAAGGATATAGCAGGTAGAGAACGTGAGGAAATAAGTAGCAACATCTTGGAAAAATGTTCATATTACAGAGGAGGTGGTGCTGGATGGCTTAAAATGAATAAAACCAGATAAATCCCTGGGACCTGATCAGGTGCACCCTAGAACTCTTTGGGAAGCTAGGGAAGTGATTGCTGGGCCCCTTGCTGAGATATTTGTATCATCGATAGCCACAACTGAGGTGCTGGAAGACTGGAGGTTGGCTAACATGGTGCCATTATTTAAGAAAGATGGTAAGGAAAAGCCAGGGAGCTATAGACCAGTGAGCCTGACATCAGTGGTGGGCAAGTTGTTGGAGGGAATCCTGAGGGACAGGATTTACATGTACTTGGAAAGGCAAGGACTGATTAGGGATAGTCAACATGGCTTTGTGCATGGAAAATTGTGTCTCACCAACTTGATTGAGTCTTTTAAAGAAGTAACGAAGAGAATTGATGAAGGCAGAGCGGTGGACATGAACTATGTGGACTTCAGTAAGGTGTTCAACAAGGTTCCACATCATAGACTGGTTAGCAAGGTTAGATCACGTGGAATACTGGGCTATGTGGATACAAAACAAGTTGAAGGTAGAAGACAGAGGGTGGAGGTGGAGGGTTGCTTTTTAGACTAGAGGTCTGTGACCAGTGGTGTGCCACAAGGATTGGTACTGGATCCACTGCT